GTGTGTGTGTGTGTTGTTTGTTGTTGTGTGTGTTGTTGTTGTGTGTGTGTGTGTGTGTAGTAGTGTTGTTTGTTGTTGTGTGTGTGTGTGTGTGTGTGTGTGTGTGTGTGTGTGTGTGTGTGTGTGTGTGTGTGTGCTTTCTCTTCCAATCCTTTTGTTCCGATGCGTTCCCGGCATATTCTCATCATCACCACCTCTTGTCCGCTCTCCCAACAGCACCCCGATGTGCTCGTTCGTGCGCTCGCTGTCGCCGTGTTCCAGATCTGCCTGCGGGTGCGTCGTCAGTGCTTCAGCCATGCACCTGTTGATACGGAAAACCGTTTGCTGCTCGCAAGCCTGTGCTTATATGACACACGCAAACACACGCACACACACGTACTTGAGCATACTTGAGTGTTCGTAGACGCGCACATGTACACACACACGCACGCGCACGCACGCACACGCACACACACGCACACACACGCACACACACGCACACACACACACACACAACACACGGACTGCCACTGCTCCTCACATGTTGCACCTGCCCATCCCTTGCTCCGTGACATTCCGCCAGAACGATGCCGTGCTCGCTGCTGCATGCGAGGATCCGGAGCTGTGGTCCGCTCTTCCGACGTCACTCGACGCGCGCCTGTCCGCTGCACACACGCACAGCTGCCGGTGCGCTGCTGTCCTCCTGGCCATTGTCGCGCGCGCCGCCGACACCCTCCCCGCAATCGCACCAGGAGAGCACGGAGATGGGGAGGAGAAACACAAAGGACACACCACACCAGGGCAGCAAGGGCAACTACAGCAAGGACAAGAACAGCAGCAGCAGCAGCAGCAGCAGCAGCAAGGACAAGAAGACGGACAAGGACAAGGCGACAAGGCGAAGCAACCAGCGTCTTCATCCTCAACCACATCCGAGCAGCAGCAGCAAAATGTGGATGGGGTGTGTGGTGATGGTGATGGTGATGGTGATGGGGCGTTGGGCAGACATGTACCGCCTGTGGTGGAGCTGAGACGGACGCTGGCACAGTGTGTGCAGGCTGCCCTGCGGTTTGATGTGAGTAACGACCTGCAGGCAGAGGGGCAGGCGCTGCTTGCAAGCACGCTCCATATCACAGCTGCAGATGCATTCAACACCAGCACCACCAGCAGCGCACACCTCGCGGCGAGTGCATGCACCGTCAACAGCGTCACTGCTTGACCATGTGTGTACATGTGTGTGTGTGTGTGGATGTGTGTGTGTGTTTGCGTATATGTGTATGTGTGTGTTTGCGTGTATGTGTATGTGTGTGTGTGTATGTGTGTGTGTGTATGTGTTTGTGTGTGTGTGCCATTCCTGTGGACTTATCATGTCTATTCGCTGTCACTGTCACTGTCGTGGTGCGTGTACGTGCCATGTACATCTCTTCCTCATCTCTGTCCGGTGCAAGCGCGTTCCTTTTGCTCGTTTTCTCCCTTCAGACACGTGTCCCTTCCCTTCCTTCCTTCTCTTCTCCGGCTTGCACTTTTCAGACTGCCACATGGTGAACGCAGCTGGGCTGCCTTTGCCGTGCAATAAAATACACACACGATTGTGCCACACTCCTGTTGCACCTTGCACCTTGCTTGCCTGTTGTTGGTTGGTTGTACTGTTGGTGAAAACAGACGAAGAGAACGAGGGAGGGGAGCAGACAGCGATGGTTTCTGCCAGGTAACGCAAGGAACAAGAGTAAAGGGGGTGGGAAGCGGGCTGGACAACGCAGCCCCAGAGAAAGAAGGGTAAAGGGAGGTGGGGAGCGAGCTGGACAACGCAGCCCCAGAGAAAGAAGGGTAAAGGGAGGTGGGAAGGGGAACGAATGAGGGATCGCAAACAACGTGCTGACGAGCGAGGGCAAGCCTGAGTGTCAGCAAAACCCACAATGCTGATTCGCATCAGCCCTCAGTTCTCCTTGCAGACCGACTGGCAGTCGGACTCCGTGGGCATGCAGATGCAGTACTGCTTGCTCTGGTGACCAATCTGTGATGAAGAGCGAGGGATGGGGCAGTGAGGGGGTGAATCGCTGCTGCATTGCGACATGCTGTCATCACACTTGCCATCGTGCCAACGCGCACATGCGAAATTGCAGCATGGCCTTGTAACTCAGAAAAAAACCACACACATACATACACATACAAGCAAGCATGCGCATGCACACACAACCACACACACACACAAACACACACACGCATCAAGCAAGCACAATCACACACACACATACAAGCAAGCATGCGCATGCAAACACACACGCAACCATGCGCATGCACACACAATCACACACACACACATGCACACACGAAATGCAAAGCTCACCCGCTTGGTGAGGGTGACGTCGCCGATGCCGTAGTGGCCGGGAGTCTCAATCTCCCAGTCAATGTCCTCCTGGCCAACGACAATGGTGCGCTGCCATGTGATGAAGGGACAGGAGGTGGCCGGCGATGGAGGAGGGTTGGGATCGCAGGCAACCTTGCTGCGCATGCTCCACCAGCAGATGCCGCTGACATCCTCCATCTTCTCCGTGGTGTTGATGAAGATGCGCGTGGCCTGGCCAGGGATGATGGACTGTGGCGTCACGGGAAGCGTGCCGTTCGTGCCGCTGCACCCGCCAAACGAAAGCGTCTCGTTCAGCAGGTTCACAAAGAACACGTTGGCCGTGTAGTAGCCCGAGGACGGCGCAGCAAACACCGCCACCATCGCCGCCACAACGGCAACAGCAAACACTGAACACAGCTTCATGGTCGGAAAGGCGAAGGAGAAGAAGGTTGTTTTGGTTTGTTGTTTGTTTTGGTTTGTTGTGGATGTGGAAAAGTGGTGAGTGGTGTGGAGAAAGTTCGAGGTGGCTGGCCAAACAGAGAGCACAGCACCGCTCATTCCTTCCAGCCTTCCCCTAGCCTTCCACCCAGACCTAGAGACTTAGAGACCTGGTTCCTTGCTTCCTTGGTTCACTCCCAGAGTCCCAGAGTCCCAGACTCTTGACTTGTTCCTTTGTTCGGACCTCTTTGAACCTTTTACTTCGTGAACGCAAGAAAATGGAAGAGCTCAAGAAGGGGGGAAATGAAAGGAAGAAGGAAGGGAACGAACACAAACAACAAAGCAACAAGTAAGAGAACTCGGTGAAGCTGAAAATGCGATGATATGGCGTGGGATTGCCTGCATCGCAACAGGCAACAGACTTTACTAGGTTGCCGTGTCTCTGTGCCGACACGACAGCTCGGGCCATACGTGGGTGATCAAACAGCATAACAAATGCAGAGACTAAGTGGTTTCTAATTCTAAAAGTGGCAGCTCAAGGGAAGAGTGGAAACGCAGGGCAGTGCCGTCACAAGAGCACAACGCAACAGTGCACCTGTGCACAGGTGCACACAGCAAAGACAACAATGGCATTTGTGTCTCCCTCAGTCGCTCATCCCTCCTGAATGCGGAGGGTGCGCGAGCTGAAGGTAAGGGCAACACCACCGCCGGTATTGATGGAGGCGCACGCGCGAAGAGGGAAAGGGAAGGAATCGAATTCATTGGTGAGTGTGAAATCGCAACAACCCTCGTCATGTGTGAGAGGTTGGTTTGGGGCAGGCTGGTTTTGATCACCCCCCTCACCACTCGAACAGTCTTGTAGCTTGAAGTTCCCTTGTCCTTCAGTTTGTTCCACAGCGATCCAATGGCCACTCGGTGCCTGTCCATTGTCGTCGCAGGATGTGGTGTACACCTTCACAACAACAACAACAACAACAACAACAGCAACAACAACAACAACAAAGGTGAAAATAGCATGAACAAAACAGAAGACGCGTGTGCAGAACAGCAGCACAAAGCAAACAACAACAACAACGGACATCGCACCACGGAACATCATTTCGCTATATAGACCGACATCAAAGTTGCGATTGGATCTGCTTTTGCTCAAGGATGAGACGTGCAAGACTTGTTGTGGTGTCAACACCAGACCTCCAGACCGATACGAAATGTCGAAAAACTCCCCGCATTGTTGCATTCCAACAACAGACGGGATTTTACCCACAAACCATTGGCCTTGGCGATCCTTGGGCGAAGGAGGAAGCACAGATGAACAGATGAACAGATGATGTGATGCATGTCAGAAATAAAACAAGGGTTGAAATGAGTGTTGCTGTGGCCGTTACACTGACGGTCGCTCGTCGGTGGAAGGCGATGTTAACACCACAAGAGCACAATATGACAGTAGCTTGAGAGAGCCACAACAAACAACCGTACGTACGTGCAAGCGACTGATTGCTGCCGAACAATCACATTTGTACCAGTTGTTTAAGGTCCCAGCAGAAAATATCCAGCCTGTTGATGAGAACTCACTTCCAACCACCTCCAACTCAACAAAACCGTCATTGCACGTCACCTGAAGGTGGTTAGAAAGGCAAAAGACTAAAAGGGTCGGCATATTCAAGCAGAGAATGAACAATATCGCCTGCACACACTTTGAAAGGTTCAGAACCGTTTCTTGATATCCATTTTGTTCCATTTGCAGAAGCTGGGAAACTTAACACGCGATAGGCCATGGCAAGGTGTGACATGCGGTGACATCCTTGCGGATCGAAAACTGAACAAACCTAATCCTCCCTTCACTATGTGGTGTTGGTAGGGCAGCGACCTCTTTCAGCCCCTTGACAGCACTACAGCAACTCACAATGTTTTCACGGCTTTACACGACCGAGCAGGGGCTTCACTTGAGTCACCGCTGCCGTTGCTCGTGGCTGGTGTTGTGCTCATGTCACAGAATACTTGCGACGCTGGCGCTGATGTTCCAGTGAAATACACATTCGTTGGCAATCCGAGCTCTTTCAACTGCGATTAGAGACAGACATGCACATTCGTGTGAATTAGGACGCATCAAACCGTGCCACCCTGCTCGTCTGCTTTAAACGCTTGCCAACAAGCCTGGAAGCCTGGAGGTTCTGAATGAGCAGACGTACCTGTTGGCAGCTGGAAGCAGGGGAGAACGCATGCTGACCCAAGCCTGGGGGCACGCATGTATCTCCGACCAGGATCTGCCGTGCATTCATGAACATGAATGAGAAGCCTCCCCTGGCGTTCGAGATGGTGACTTACAAGGAGCCTCTCTGCTTCTCTGAAAGGGTGCACTCGTACTCATTGCAGAAACAAAGAACAAACATAGATTGCTCAGAATGCTGCTCCATGCTCACCTTCCCCTGCGCAGTGCAGGCTCGGGTTGCCGCCAGCTCACGTTGCAGGGCCTGCACTTGAGCCACGACTTCGTTGAAGTCCACCTCGCCAATCAAAACGCTCCCGTTTGCACCGCTTTGCAGCTGCAGGTTGCCCTGGTCGTCCGTCAAAATCAACGCGTCCCCGAAATCACTTGCCGTGGTGTTAGCAGGTTCCGACCGTTGGCCGCGTACAAACCCAAGCTCAAGCATGATCATGGTGGCCACGGTGGCCCACAAAACAAACACCCGCCGCGCATCCATCACCCTGTCGGAGAGTCAGAGCGTCGAGGTTAAGGAGAACACAAGAAAGTCAGGGAGAGAGGGAAACTGCAGGACGAAGCTGAGAGAGGAGTTGTTTATGTTTCGTGTGGAAGATTAGAAGATTCACGCGCACACCAGTGAACTATCGATGTGCCACCGTTGTGAGAGTTAGGAGGGGCATGACAAGAGGGAAGCGCCCTCAGCGTTCGCCTCCGCGCTCCTGCGCTCCTGATCCTCAGCACTCAAAGACTCAGTCCTCTTGATGTAAAAAGTAGCAGTCATCCCTCACACCAAAAGGTTCAGGTGACGGCGGAATCTAGGAAGCAACTGTGTATCTTCTAGAGCTAACAAGCCCACACAAACAAACAGCGCATAGCCAAAGAAGGGAAAAGGGAGCAGCAACAGAAGGGAAGCACGCACACACACGCACGCACACACACGCACACACACACACACACACACACACGCACACACCCACCACACACACACACACACACACACACACACACACACACGCACGCACACACACACACACACACACACACACGCACGCACGCACACGCACGCACGCACGCACACACACACGTCGCTGTACCTCAGCACCCCGGGTCAATGACAAGGACGGAATCCGCATTGTATGGAATACCGTAGATGAGACCATCGTTGGCAAGCACGCCATGCCACCACTTGAAGGAGGATCCAGCAAGGTCGTTGATGATTCTGGTGTCGGTGATGTTGGTGGGTGGGTTGACAACGATAACTGCCGAAGAGCTGTATGGGATGCCAATGATGTTGCCATTGGGTGCGAGCACACCGCCGACCCATTTCGGAAAGTTGGTGACCTCAACGACAGGCAGCTCGTTGGTGGTGTTTGTGACTGGGTTGATGACGAGTGTCGTCGCTGAGTGAGCCGGGATGCTGTAGATAAGACCGCTGCGTGAAAGCACGCCGCCAAGCCACTTAAAACCCGTGCCAAGGCCACTGATGGTGGTCAGGTCCATCGTGAGGGACTCGGGATTGATGGTGAGGACGGCGGAAGCCATGGCAGGAATGCAGTAGATGAGGCCGTTTTCTGCCTGCACGCCGTCGTACCACTTGTAGTCTTGGCTCAACAGTCCGGACAGCGTGGTAATGTCGGCTGTGTTCGTTTCAGGGTCAACGATCAGTACAGACGTGGCAGAAGATGGGATGCCAAAGATGAGACCGTTGCTGGCTGCCACGCCACTTTTCCACTTGGAGTTGCCGGATCCAAGGGAGTCGATGCTTGATGTGTCAATGGTGTTGGTATTCGGGTCGACGATGAGCATTGTGTCCCTGTTGGATGGGAACATGTAAATGAGGCCGTTGTGTGCCAGTACCGCACCCGCCCACTTGCCGTTGTCTGTTCCCAGTCCTGGGATTGTGGTGATGTCGACGGTGTTTGTGCTGGGGTTGATGATGAGCACAGAGGGTGATTTGGATGGTGCGGCGTAGATCAGCCCGTTGGTGGCGAGAACGCCGCCAAGCCATTTGTTTGTCGTGAAGCCGAGTTGCCCAAACGTCTGAGCGCTCAGGGTGCACACCTTGCTGCCAAAGACGCGATCGATCGCGCTCTGCTGCTCCGACACAGTACTCATCAGCGTGCTGAGCATCTCGTGCACATTGACGCCATTCAAAAACACGGGCTGGCTCATTGGATCAGTGGTGTTGATGTGAAACGCGCCCGCATCGTCCTCCTCCAGTACCACCTCTCCCAGAACGCTGTTGCGCATGGATGGCATCGCCATCAATATCAGCAGTGAGGGGAACAGCAACACCATCCCTCGTGCCTGCAGGCATCCCATCGTTCTCCTCCTCTTCGATCGCAGCCAGTGCGTGTGCCTGCGTGTGTTTGTTTGTCTATGATGAGCTGTTTGCGGCACTTCTTGCGGTTGTGGACGATTATTGAAAGTCTTACTCTTATTTTCGAGCCAAACAGTGATTGTGGAGCAAGCTCGGCGCCAGCCAGTGGAAACGACACAGAGCAGGCACGATGTCGATGATGGATGGCGGGGTGTTGTACCCCAGCTTCATCACGCAGAAAGGTGTGAATGAGCTCAAGGATGCAGACATTGTGACCGAAGATGACCTGTTCATCCTCACGTTCCCAAAGGTGTGTGTGTGTGTGTGTGTGTGTGTGTGTGTGTGTGTGTGTGTGTATGTGTGTGTGCGTGTGTGATTGCGATTGGTGGTGGGATGCAGCAGCTCGCGGTCCTTGTGCCATCTCCTCACTAAGCTTCCTGGCTACCGCCTCGCACTCGCGTTGTCTTGTCCTCAATCCACTCAACACACACACACACACACACACACACACGTACAGTGCGGCACGACGGTGACGCAGCAGATTGTGCACTTGCTGAACCATGAAGGCGAGCAGCCAGACCATCACATGATGGCTGGCGTGCCGTGGCTGGAGGCGTCTTACTGCAACGGCACCTACACGCTGGAGGGCCTCAAGGAACGCAAACTGCGCTGTTTCAAGTCCCACGCTTCCCCGCACCTTTTCCCAGGAGACTGGCGCAAACCAAAGTGTGTGTGCATGCGCGTGTGGGTGTGTGTGTGTGGGGGGGGGATGTGCGTGCATATACATGTATGAGTGTGTGTGTGTGTGGGGGGGGGGTGTGTGTGTGTGTGTGTGGGTGTGGGTGTGTGTGGGTGTGCGTGCATATACATGTATGAGTGTGCGTGTGTGTGCGTGTGTGTGTCGGATTCTCGCCCTTGCTGGCATTGCTGGCATTGTCACTGTTCCGCTCTCATCCCTTCCCGTGCAGGATGATCTTTGTGACACGCAACCCAAAGGACACGATGGTGTCGATGTACCACCACATGAAGAACAAGAAGACGTGGTCGTTCGCCGGTTCATGGGATGACTTCTTCTACAACAAGGTTGGATGGAGTTGTTTTGTGTATGTATGAGTGAATGAAAGAAGGGAAGAATCCATGTGCCACCACGGCGTGGGCGCCATGTGTGTGTGTGTGTGTGTGTGTGTGTCTGTCTGTGTGAATGTCTGTCTTTGTGAAGCGCGACAGTGCGTCTCACTTGTGACCCCTGTCCTTCTAAGTCACTTGTTCCTCATCTCAGGCCTCACAATACCTCTCCTCCCCTTCTCTCCCTCCCCTTCTCTCCCTCCCCTTCTCTCCCCAACAACACATCGCAACAGATTATGCAGAACACGATCGAGTCGAACAACTTCTTCGACTGGCACCTGCCGTGGTGGGAGCGGTACAAGAGCGGACAGGTGCCACGTGCGCTGTGGTTGCATTACGAGGACATCATTGCCGACATGCCCGGCTCCGTGCGCAAGATTGCGGACTTTATGGGCAAGGACGTGTCAGATGAGACGGTGGCGGAAGTTGCACGCATGTCGACGCTCGACTCAATGAAGAAGAACCCGCTGGCCGACTGCAAGTGGATCACGGCGAGCGAGCACGCGACGGAGCAGGGTGACGCGCAGCACCTCCGACGCGGCGGCAAGGGCAACTGGAAGGACGTGTTCACCGTTCGGCAGAACGAAATCTTCACGCGGTACTGCGACGAGCGGCTCAAGGGCACGGGGCTCACATACGACTACGGCGAATAGATAGGACGTCGAAACAGAGACTGGGAGAGGAGCGGGGAGAGATACGGGGAAGCAAATTTCAGGTGGTGGTGGTGTATGTGTTGTTTGTTTGTTTGTTTGTGTGTGTGTTTGTGTGTGTGTGTGTGTGTGTGTGTGTGTGTGTGTGTGTGTGTGTGTGTGTGTGTGTGTGTGTGTGTGTGTGTGTCCATGGCAAGAGCGTTATCGTTGGCGTTTGTCACCTGGTCGGGTGTGGCTTTGGCGCATGATTCGTTACACGTGATTCGTGTGTGGTGTTACCTCAGGGCACGCACGTGTGTAAATGTCGAGTGAACAAGTAAACGAATGACCCAGACAGGTTCAGGCTGCACCCGCCCGACGACGCGCCTGTGTGTGCGTGCGTGTGTGTGTGTGTGTATGTGTGTGTGTGTGCGTGGACATGTGTGTCAATAACACAGAGCACGCACATGGTCAAGTGCTCACGAGTCAACAAGAGTAGATACCCCCAAAATCGTGCACACCCGATTCTCTTCCGCCTGCCCCTGCCCCCCCCCAAGCTTACACCTACCCCTGATGTAGAGGGAAAACTGGTCGCCGTTCCATGTGGCGGTGGCCTTGGAGGTCACGGGGGCGCACGTGGTGCACGTGTACTTGCCGCCAGATTTCTTCGTGTACGGAACAATGGCAATGTTGCCAAAGAAGTCGCCAGAGGGCAGGCCTGCAAGTGTGTGTGTGTGTGTGTGTGTGTGTGTGTGTGTGTGTGTGTGTGTGTGTGTGTGTGTGTGTGTGTGTGTGTGTGTGTGTGTGTGTGATGGGTGACACTAACCGCTCCCCAAGCCACTATCACCAACCGCCCGCGCCCCCACCACCACAAGCAAGCCGCCACTCACTGGACGATGTGAAGGAGCCGCTCCAGCTCTGCGTGACGGTGCCGGGGGTCCACCCTGAACAGCAGCACATGGACAATCGCACGAACAATGGCACAAGCGCGAGCGTTAGACGTTGTTGTGTTTGCCCGTGTGAGCTCCAGATGGACACACGGAGCCAGAGGGGTGCATCTTCTTGAAGAATGTGCGGCCTGCACAAGCTACCCCGTGACGACCACACGCCATCACAAGAACCAACAGCACGCGCCCTCAAACAGCAATAAAAACCAACACGCCGCGCTCTGACCGCCAACCCCGGCCACTCCCCAAGTACAAGAGAGACGCACCGTTCTGGCAGGCGGGAGCCTGGCTGGCGGTAGGGCATGTGCCCTGGCCGTCGAGGACAATGCGGAAGTTGCCGACCGTGTAGTCAAAGTAGAAGCACACGGGGATCACAGCGTTCTCAACCTGCACCTGGCCGACATAGTAGTATGGGTACGCGCCACCGCTATGTGGGGCCAGCTGCACGTATGCATGTGTGCGCGCGCGTGGGTGTGTGTATGTGTGTGTGTGTGCGCGCGCGCGCGTGTGTGTGCGTGTGTGTGCGTGTGTGCGCGTAGGAGGGGGAAGTGCATGAGCGCATGAGTGCATGAGGGCATGAGTGCAGTAGGTGCTATTCGTGTGAAGATGGAAAGGGTTGCCAGCAGCACATTTCCTTCAAGCCTGCAAGCACCGTCATGCAAACACAATATGCACACGTGCACACACATGCGCACAAACTAAACATCCACACACACAAACTACACACACACACACAAACTACACACACGCCACACTCACGCTGTAAAAGTAGTAGCCCTGGGTGTTGAGGCTGCAGGAGCCGGAGCTGGCGTAGGAGATGTTGAGCATCATGGCGTTGTTGAAGAAGAGGAAGCGAGCAGGGGCGGTGACAGGACTGCAAGTCGTGCACGCGTAGCCCCCGGACTTGCGGGTGTACGGCACAATGGCCACGTTGCCGACAAAGTTGCCGGTTGGGATGGGCGTCGTCACGCCACCCTCCGTCTGCTCTTCCACAGGCAGAGCTACAGGCAGGCACAGTGTACATGTGTGTGTGTGTGTGTGAATGAACATGTGTGAGCGTGTACTTGAACATGTGTGAGCGTGTGCTTGAACATGTGTGAGTGTGGGTCAGTTTGTGTGTGTTTGTGTGTGAGTGCGTGAGCATGTGCGTGTCGTCACAGTGTGTGTGTGTGTGTGTGTGTGTGCCACAAACAGTAAGAGCGAGACACGAAGGGAATACAGTGAACCATGTCAACAAGCCCCCTTCCTCCTCCTCACCTGACACGGCGACAGCCGCAAAGGCGAGAGCAACAGCAAGGAACCGCAGCATCTTTGCTTCTTCTCTTTGCTTGTTTGGTTTCACAGTCAGCAGTGCAGGCGGTTGGTTAGCGGTGCACTCTTCTTGCCAGCAACAGTGAATGGTGCTTTCCACTGCTGCGCGTGCTCTTCCCTCTCTTCCGCCTTTTTCCTCTTGACGAAATGCACGCATGAGTCATCACTGTCAGCCTTGCCGTTGCAAATTGCAGGCGCTCATTGCACGTTGCGCAACTGCCACAAACGTCCAAGCACATTGCGCAATTGCTTGCCTAAAACAGTAAAACCCCGAAACGCCACACCCACGCCACAACGCGCCCTCGAAGATCGATCGTGTATGTTCTCTTCGCCACTGCTTTGGCCCACCAAAACCTCAAAACGGTTTTGACTGCTGTTGTTTGCCGACGCAACCGGCCACGCCCTCAAACCAGCAAACAACAACATCCTCACATCGCTCGGCATGTAACACATGCTTCAGCGCTTCGCGCATGTGCTCCTCTTTTCGCTCTTTCGCTTGCTGTTTTCGCTTGTCTTTGTTGTTTTTGCCTTTTTGTTTTGCCATGTTGTTCCTCCTTCCTTTCATTTTCCCCACTACCACCCATCACTCACCCATCATATCCGCTTCTCGTTCATTTGTAGTTCTCCTCGGGCTCTGCTCGCCCCCCCCTCCCCCAAGCCCCAAATCCACCAACCCCATCAACCCAAGCAACCCAGCATGGCGCAGCACTCGAGCTCCTCCTCGGAGCTGATGGAGATGAAGGAGACAGGTCGCAGCGCGCACGCCGGCGGCGGCAGTGCCGGTGGCATCTCTGGCATGAAGCTTGCCCTCGCCATCCTCGTGTCCTTGGCAATTGTGGCAGTTGTCGTCGTGCCGATCGCCGTGGTGACGAGCCAGAGCTCGTCGTCCAAACATGGCACACTTGACTGCGCCGACCCAGACTCCCGCGCCTCCATCCTCAAGAATGCCATCACCGAGGTCATCACCGTCGAGAACTGCTGTTGCGAGGAGTTCAAGCAGCTACAGCGCGTGGAGGGCTCCGTCAAGCTCGCCGCCTCCCTCACCTCCTTCGACCTCACGGACGCCAACGTCTCCTACATCGGCGCCCTCGAAGGCAGCAACGGACAGCTCATCGCCGTGGACTTTGGCAACGCCCTGACAAAGATTGAAGCCATCCTCGATCTGCGCAGCAACAGCATCAGCAGCATCCGCTTTGGGGCCCTCACGAGTGTTGGTGGTTTCATGCTCCTCAACGACAACAGCCTCTCCGCGATTGACTTTGGCAACTTCTCCACTGTCGGCGTCAGCCTGAACGTGAGCGGGAACCCGCTGACGTCCTTCTCCTTCTCCAACCTCACCCACGTCGGCGACGACACCATTTACGTGGGGCCAAACATCTGGGGCCTCACCGACGGCACGGTGAAGAGCGTGGCCTTGGACAACAGCCAGATCACCGCCATCGACTTTGGCCGCAACACGCGACTGGGCAGCTACTTCACCGCCACGGACACCGGCGACGCGCGCAACCCTCTTCAGTCTGTTGGGTTTGGTGACATCAGCGTCATCGATGCCTTCATCGTGCTCACCAACACGTCGCTCGCATCCCTCGACTTTTCCAGTGTCACGGACATCACGGGCAGCCTTGACCTGCGCTATTCCAGCAGCCTCACCAGCGTGGACTTTGGCGCCCTTGCCGCCATCGGCGATTACCTGTACCTCGACTCCACCAACCTCACCAGCATTGACCTTGCCTCCATGGCCAGCATCGGTGGCTCTCTCACCATGAGCACTGACTCCGTGACCAGCGTCGACTTTGGTGCGCTGACGAGCGTCGGCGGCGATCTCACCATGGTCAGCACGGCGGTGGAGACGCTTGACTTTGCCTCCATCGCCACAGTGGCCGGCAGCGTGACAATCGAGAACAGCATGCTCACGAGCGTGTCGCTGGGTGCTCTCACCAGCATTGGCGGGCAGCTAAGCCTCGCCCGCTGCAGCCTGACGACCGTTGACCTCGGTGGCCTCACGTCTGTCGTGTACAACCTCGACTTGTCGGCCAACGCCCTTACCAGCATCAACTTTGGCAGCCTCACCGCCGTGGGCGGCAGTGTGGATTTGAGGGCCAACGCGCTCACCAGCGTTGACTTTGGCAACATCCAGACCATTGGTCTCGACGTTGAGACAAACGGCAACCCGGCCATCACCAGCATCAGCTTCGGCAGCTTGCAGTCTGTCGGCCGTGATCTCAGCTTCACCAACACCAGCATCACCAGCATCAACCTGGCCAACATGCAGAGTGTGGGGGGCACCATCGACTTTTCCTACAACGACCGTCTCACCAGCTTCGACTTTGACACCCTGACAAGCATTGGCGGCTCCCTGCGGTTCTTCTATGCCAACTTCACCACGTTTGACCTTGATGGCGTGACGAGCTTCAATGGGGAGCTTGATCTTGCCAACAACTTTGACCTCAACAGCGTCAACTGCCGTGGTCTTGCCTCCTGCATCTATGTCCCTGGTGGAGTCACCACCACCAACTGCCCAGCGGCCTGCTGAGTGGGTTGAGTGGGTTGAGAGAGAGTGAGTGAGTGTGTGTGTGTGTGTGTGTTTGCTTCTGTGTCTGCTATGCTTCTGCGTACGTGTGCGTACGTGTGCGTGCGTGCGTGCGTGCGTGCGTGCGTGCCTGCCTGCCTGCCTGCCTGCCTGCCTGCTCGTCTGTTCTTCCTTCTTTGCTTCGTTACTTTCGGTTGCGTCATTGTACTTCTTCTTCTTGTGCCCCCCGAGTGTGAGTTGATGTGAGTGTGAGCTGAGTGCACCGTTCTAGACTGACTATTGGAGCAGTGAGTCACCAGCAGAGCAGCAGTGCAGCAGCACTGGACGCAACTCAGGCAACTGTCCTTTCGTCCTTTCGTGTCAGGATGAGCGTTGATGATTGGAGCTGGAAGGCATGATGACTCATCACTTTCACTGAGGCCGCACTTTTTGCGAATGGATGGTGATGGCACGTGGATCGTTGGATTGGAGCTTGTCATTTACAAGAGAGCAGTTCCACTGAGTGTTGCAGAAAACAACCAGTACACGACCCTCATTCAAGCACACACGCACGAACACACACGAACACACACACACACACACACACACACACACACACACACACACACAATGCCTTTGCAACGCGTCAACTCCAGCTCGAGGCTGGTGGACACACACCAGCACACAGAGAAACGCACGTCCAAGAGTGCTCGCTGGTCCAAGACACGAATCCTCCTGGCCGTGGTCGTCGTGCTGGCAGTGGCAGTGGCCATCGCCGTGCCACTCGTCGTCATCAATCGCAACCACTCCAGCAAGCCAAGCGTCGAGACACTCGACTGCACGGACCCAGACTCCCGCGCCACCGTGATCCACCTTGGCACGACCGAGGTGGAGACCGTGGAAAACTGCTGCTGCGAAGCCTTCAACCAGTTGCACAAGGTCACAGGCTCTGTCACGTTGGCCTCTTCCCTCACCTCCCTCGATCTCACGGACGTCAACGTCTCCCACATTGGCGCCATCGAAGGCAGCAACGGACAGCTCACCGCCGTGGACTTTGGCAACACACTCACCCACGTTCAGGGCACGGTGAACCTCAGCAGCAACAGCATCAGCAGCATCCGCTTTGGGGCCCTCGAAACTGTTGGCGGCCACCTGTTCCTCAACGACAACAGCCTCTCTGCGATTGACTTTGGCA